ATCTTTCCTTAGTCACGTATAACTGAGAAAGTTTGCAGAGATATGCCCCTTAGTATATGATCTGCCATGCTTTGAACGGTTCCGCATTGGCAGAGATCGTTCTTATAGCGCAACATTTCAATGCAATCTTCTCAGATCATGGTCAGTCTTATGAAGTGAAATGCTTTTAGTTTTTTTGTTCCTTTTCCGCCATTCTTCGAGCCTCCTTTAGGAATTCGTTTAAAATGGTTAGTCACTCTATCATCTTACATCAGTCGCGATTGATCGTCATTAACAGGTCAAACTATTGAAGCATTTGTTAGTGCATGCTTTTATGCAGCCAACTTGAACGTAAGTTTGCTGCAAAATGCACTCGTGGAATCTTGCACATTGCTAGAGCTGTGAAAATTTCATATCTGATATCACGTTTTGAGGATAGAAATAAAATTTCTTTTACGCTGTTTGATAATTCAGTCGGGAAACCGTTTCTCATCAGTTTCGATGCACAGGGATGAGAGGTCATTATGTGGTTCGGTTTTAGCAGTTTTACTGTGTGAGATTTGAACAGTATTGCGACATAAGCGCAGATATTTATTCTGTCAATTTAGAAGCAACTTCTATCATTTTGTATCAGTACGACGGTTCTAAAATTCTGCAACTGTTCCTCGTGAGGGAAATGATTATTGTTTTATGAGGTTATGGCGAGAAACTGCACAGAAAAAATTAAAATCGTTAAGGCACTTTTGCGGACAGAAAGCAATAACTTTCCGCGATGCAATGTTTAGCGAATCAGTATCGAACATGTGTTTTGGTTACCTGTTGTTTATTTATCAATCTGTTGATGAAAATAACCCCCTTCTCATTTTCCAGGTGTCTCTATAATGGCGTCGTGTGGTTTTGAAACGCGAAACACTAAATGGTTCTACAAAAATCAAATGATTGTCAATCGTGCTACACCGGCAGGAAAACTGCAACGCGTTGTTGAATTTTTGACGTATTTAATGGTGGCCAAAATAGAAGCTATGGCCGCACCGTACGATGTTTGGCGCATTAAAGTTCTAAATGACGAGATCGAAGCTGTTAAGAGGCAAATATATCAAATTTGTCTACCGCGGCCAAAGCCTATCCTGCCG